AGTGAAAGTGGTTTCTATATTTATTCATGAAACCAGGGACTGAATGACGGTGTGTGTGACAGCCATTAGTCCAGTATGACGTACTGTGACTAAGGTGACTGAGCCCCTCTGCCAATGTAAATTATAGTAGCGGTTGCAGCATTAACCCTTGTGTAGTTAGTCATCATAGTTTGTCCTCATATACCACTGTATGTATTAATAACATTAATTGCAAAACACCATAAAGAACTGTTCATTTCATGCTTTATATTATGTAGGATACATGAACAAATACTCTCAAAAGTCATGCAAATAGAAAGAAACACTCTAAAGTTACTTTGCCATCCCTTAGACTCCCAGATAGGTCTTGTTGTGGACAAACTGTTATAAAACCCCAACAACAGAAATCCAAACAGGCTTACTGGAACTGCAAACGCAACATAGAAGGTTAAGTATTAGCATTTGTTCTATGTGGTCATCTGCAAACAACCTTAGGATCCATATTGCACAAACATTTCCTCACAGTGACACATTATAAGCCAATATGACTCACAATGCCAAAACATCAGCCCACAAATAATTAACAACTCCCTATTTTATTTTTTCTCAAAGATATTTTTCATTTTATAAAGTATTTTGTTGTCAGTACCGCATAATCGTGCCACAATGTTCCATCAGTACATCAACATATATTACAGGGCCAAGAAAATGTACCTCTATTACATTTTCTATCAAAACACCGAGCTGTACTTGAAATGAGACTGCACTTTCTATGGAAATGAGATTTTTCTTTTTGTGTGACTGCATAGCTAACCCATTCGCCAGTAAGAAACTGTTATGTGGGCTTTCCATTCAGAGTGCCCTTGGTTTTTCGAAAAGGATGGTTTGATTGAGCCCACAGTTATTCAGTATGTTCTGGCTCCTGCAATTGACTGACAAAGTAGTATTGTTCAAATGTTCAGTTCAGAACATGAATCTTGAATCTTGAATTAAAGTCAGACTAAATATGACCTTCATGCTTTCACACATGTTCCATGACTAAACCCTCACTGTCTACTGAATACCAGATTTACTGATGCATGTGAACACTTTCATGGTCTTCACCATAAAGTGAAGGTGATGAATAATACCCATGTTCCCAGGTTTTAAACAATGTCTTCATACAATGGAAAATAAAATCACATTGCAGTTGCTGAAGCCGACTGGGGGGGCAGAGAACTCATCATCAAACATCATGAATCCTGCTGCAGAGAGTGAGTTGGTTCTCAATCCTTTTACACTGAGAGCACGTCGTGATCACTGCAGAAAACAATGGGGGTTGAATGCAGGTACTGGTCATACCGGCCTCATGAATAAATCCCAAGAGGTATAGGAAAACACTGTATGGTGGTAATATGAACATAAAAATAGATGCAAAAAAAAAACATGTAAACATATCAAATGACTGTAACCATGGCAGCATCGTATGTGAAGAGAATGAACATAATTAATTAGTACTCACACTTCACACCTCCAGTGTCCATGACTACAGGGATTTGGACACTCCATCAGTTCATTCATTCCACTTATCCATAATCACACAGGAAACACCTGTTTGCGAGGTGATAAAAATAGAGTAGTACATTTAATAGTTAGGTTTGCACTCATTAAAATTGTTTGTCACAATGTGTTTAAAAGCATATTTTGAGTCTGATTTGGATCATTTTAAACATATTTTGAAAGCTGCACCATTAAGTGAAAACTATATTCTCAATTCCAGACTTCTCTAGAGCTAATTTCTTTCAAAGGAATATTACAAGACTTTAAACTGGAGATCTTGAGTGCTGGGGGCTACTTCTATAAAAGGACTGTGTCCTTCTCTGGATGGGTCTGTGACGCAGAAGCTGCGCTTGGTGTGGGTGTATAAGAGGAGACACTCGGCTCCGTTTCGGCACACACATGGAGAAGCTGGGTTGGTAAGATACTGATCGCCTCTCGGTGTCCGGAGACGCTTGAATGAACATTGAGATGAACACAACTGAGAAGTTTTACCTTCCCGTTGATGGCATCCTCGAAATGTTCAACTCTCTCACCGTGCAATCACGCATTACGCACCCAGTTCTTCAGAGCACAAGCCTTACCCCTGTACCCCAGCACACCAAAGTTTCAAACATATCGAAGACGGGTATGGGTATCATTAAGACGGTCAAGGGGCGCTGGAGACCACAGGATAAGAGAGCGGTTGCAAGCAGATCCTCGAGCTCTGGCAATCGGCAGGTTTCGACTGATCGACTCCCCAAAAGGTCCGTGGATCTGCTGGAGCTGGGTCTGACAAAGCCTAAGAACTGTCACAGGATAGTTGTGCTCGGCGCACCCAAAGTTGGTAAAACCAACATCATGCAGCGCTTCTTGGGTAAAGAATTTGAAGAGAACTATGAACCCACGACCGAGGACTTTCACAGAAAGCTGTTCCACATAGGAGGAGAAGCGTATCAGGTGGATCTTCTGGACGCAGCAAGTGAGAGGAACTTCCCGGCAAAACGGAGGTTATCCATACTGACAGGTGAGCCCTTGGATCATTAATAATCACTGCAGCCTGATGTCTACAAATATTGTTTTACACAGTTTTTCATCATCATTATTATCATTTGACATAAAAATGCCATAATCTCACTATGAAATATGGTGTAAGAATGATGATTTTGTTCTTAAAGTCTACATTAAATTATCAATAATTAAATTGATGCTTTTTTTTTTTTTACTCTCCAGGTGACACATTTCTGCTTGTGTTCAGTTTGGATGACAGAGAGTCTTTCGATGAAGTCTGCGAGCTGCTCAACGAGATCAAGGCTGCCAAAGCAAAATTACTGAAATTAAAACATCCCGCGAGAATACCAGCAGTGATCTGCGGTAACAAAGCGGACTCCGACGCGCCCAGAGCCGTGATGCGCTCGGAGGTGACGGAGATCCTCGGTGAGGATGTCGCATTCTTCGAAACCTCGGCCAAAGACGGTACCGGGCTGGAAGGTGCGTTCAGGGCCCTCGCCACTCTAGGCGGGCTGCCCGGCGAGACCAGTCCGTCACGGCACCAGCTCATATCCATCCTCAGCTACCAGACGATGTGCATCAGCCAGAGGGGCCGGAGTGGGAGCCGTAAGCGGGGACTCGGTGCGCCCTGCGCCGCCATGGACCCTCTGGCGCGCCGCCCGAGCTTCACCAGCGACCTGCGGCTGGTGCTGAGATCCAGCACCAAACACAACAAACCCGAGAGGTGTCACATTCAATGAATCGTGAGCCTTCTCGATAAACCAATTGTAGTAGTATGCTGCAATTTCGTATTATGTAAGGAGTTATACTCTGTAGCACCTGGCTGGACCAGTGCATTCATATTTTGTTTTTTTTGTATGTGTAACTGTATTATATTATCCTATAATAAAAAAATGAATATTTCTATTTCTCATATGTGCTTTGTCATCTGTTGAGCCATCAGTTCGTGTCAGAGACGTAACCAATATCAGAGAGAGGTGAAGGAGATAGACATGTATTGTTAGACGTTAGACCTAGCTGTTAGACGTAAGCAATTAATTGTGTTCAAGTGATGATGTAAAACCTGATCATAAGTGCGTGGGAGGGGATGACTCAACCACAGACCTTAAGAGTCTTCTAATTTGTCAGACACTAGAGATTGTTTCATTTCCAAGCCTCCCACGACGCTGCGAATGGCATCTTGGACCGAGGTGTGACAAAGCACGGTTAAGGAGCACCAATAGTCTACACACACTCATGTGTCACCGCAGTATTCACAGGAAACAAAAGAGTCAGAGCATCGATTATTGAAGACAGGGAGGCGGGCGAGAGGAGAGAGACATATTGAACTCCGGGAAATCAGCACCATGGAGAGAGCCCACTGTTCCATATATATCCTTTCTCTACAGGAGAAACACATCCAACCCACAGAGTGGCCTTGGTTTGTAAAAAAGGATGAAAGGATGGTTTGATGGAGACTGTTATTCAGTGTGTTCTGGCTCAAATGAACTGACAGTACTGTTAAAATGTTCAGCTCAGTACTTTAAAGTCAGGCAAGATGTACCCAGTTACCCCTCCAGACATGTATTAAGACATATATAAATAATCTGCTTGTAACAATAATGTCTGATACGCAAAAACACTATATTTTCCACATTAAAATCCTTAAAATGACATCTACTCCAACTCTTTAAATGCCATAGAATCTATGAATATGAAAATATCTTTAGAAAGTCCATTCTCAGTGTGTGCGCACTGGTGACTTAAAGTTTCCAATCACACTTGTATAACTTGTATACTTGACCAGAACTGACTTTTATAACTATTTGTGATGTCACAGTGACAATGTTGGTGATGCTTGTAGGCCTCGCCCCTTAAAATTTGATTTTCAATGAGCACAAAACTTTCCACTTTCAGCAGATGAATGTGAATAGTGTTGTCAAACTCTTTAAGTACATTGTCCTGCACGTCGAAGCTCAAACATCTAAAAGTAGAAACAAGAAAAAAGCATATTTGTCAGAGGGAGGGGCGCTTTAAATATTATTATGCAGCTGCTGAAGCTGGCGGTGCTGCAAGACTCGTCATCAGACTTCATGAATCTTACAGCAGAGAGTGAGCTGTTTCTCCAGCCGGAGAGCACATCGTGATTACTGCAGATAGCAATGGGGGCTGTACTGTTCAAATCCCAAAATCCCAGATGAAGTTATGTCAGGCTGTGCAGGCATGTGGGAACACACTATGTGGTGGTTACATAAACGTAAGAATATATAAAAGAAACAGGCCACAATTACACTGAAATCATTCCAAATTACTATTGGACTATTGTACTGTCATCCTTTCATCCATAATGAGACAGAAAGACATCCCTGTCATTTCCCTAGTAAAATACTAACACATGCTTAATTCAAATGTGAACTTTTGACAACATCAGTCTACGTTATGAATCATCTCTGGCTGTAACAGCACTTCACAAGTAATAGTCTCAACTACAAAGTGGCGGGGCCATTGCTGTAATGATGTTAATCATTTATTTCCTCTCATGTACTGTAAGATCAATTACACTGATTTGTAAATGAGTTTAACTGAAATGTTGCTGAATGGTTCAATAGATCTCTCTGAATTAATCCAAATTAAACTGCCACTTATAGACAAGAAACATTTGGCAGCACACTCTGTCCCTGTACTCAGTGCCAAACTATAAATGAGACTTTTATTTGATTTTAGTTAGTTAGTTAGCCGGATTTATAAGCAGTGGTGGATTTCCAGATAGAATTTCCTTATTCATTCCTGTATGATTGTAAACTTTATTCCTTATATATGTTGAATTGTTATAGTGTCTCAAGAGTAAAAGACTCAGCTAAACATTGTCTCTGTAATTAGTGCCACACAGATCTAAATTCCAAGAAAATAATTATGGAATTACAGACTTTTCTCTACTTTTCTTTACTAAAACAGCATCTGTTTGCTATTGTGCTGAACATGGCCCTTAAATATAGAGATTTATTCATCTATTCAGCAGGTGTATTTACAAGAGCAGTGAAACTCACATCTATTCCCAATACAGAAACATACTGAACTGGCATTTACCTAATTTCCTGTACCCTGCGAGGTCAATAATTATGTTTACATAACAGTAAAAAATTAAAATAATTACATAATTGCACGATGGAGCCTGGGGGTTTTTCAAAAATATATATAACAATATAATAGGAAAAAAGCCAGTGGGGGATGTAATTACTGCACAGTTTGTGGTGGTTTAGGTTACTATGACAACAGCTTTACATGTCCTGTCAGCCTAACCCACAGACAAGCTTTCTCTGACATTATCTGCTCTCTTCACATTCCTGTCATCGTGGGTTGGAGGTCTTCTTTGTTTGTCCGTCAGTGTGGTGGTCCCTTTGTAGCCTCTGACTGATTTGTCTTTCCAGCTCCACCAGTAGAGCTGGCAGCATGCTGTCCAGTAACGCCAGTCCGTCCCAGGAGCAGCGCAGGCCTCTAATAAAAAATAAGATGAAGAGTTGTTCTTTACTATTATTATATTATTATTAAGACAAACATTTCCTGGTTCCAGCTTCTCAAATGTGAGGATCTGATGCTTGTCTTTGTTTTGCATTTTAGTTATTATGAATATATTTGGGCTTTAGACTTCTGGTCAAGTAAAAGAAGCTCTTTTAGTACATCCCCTTGGGCTGTGGGAAATTAAAAAAGGCATTTTCCCCCACTTTCTGACATTTTATAAACAACTAAATTAATCAAACAATCAAGAGAATAAAAACCTACACTTGTGGGCGATCTCTGTCTCAACCAGTGAAAATGTAAAACTTTTGAATTTAAGTATTAAAAAATGATAGTCATAAGTCACCTGTCGTCAAGAATGAGTCTTCCACTCTGTAGCAGCTCCTGGACATCGGTGGATCTACCAAAGACTTCACGGAGGCTCAGCTGTGGGCTAAACAACTCCCAGTGCTGCATAAAAAGACCGCACATGTGCAAGATGTACTGAATGCTGAACCTTCACAGACCCAGAAGATTACACAGAAACCTTGCTGAATAGAACATTTTCCATTAGTGCATTTTAAGTAGGCTTAAAGAGGTTATTGTGTGTGCTTCACCTTGTGATTAATGCCCTCGGTCATTCTCATTCCCATCACCAACACCTCCTCCAATCTGCCAAGCAAACATCTTTCATTACAGAACTTCAAAGGACAGAGACAGAGTGAGCAAATGGATTCAATGGAGTCTGATAATAGCGTTTCACAAGGACAGAATGTTTGAAAGAACAAGCACATGTACGGCGACCTCCGGCACTATGTTTGTTACACTGTGTTAAATTACACTCAGTGGATTGGCTGTAACATAATTGCTACATTTCACATGAGAATTTATAGAAATGGCAGATGCCCCCTTTGTGTCACCAGCAAATATACTCATCACAAGACACAACACCACTGCCTGTAAGTGCAACAGCTCACAGTTCAAGATGGTTGAGCTGAATCCGCCTCCGTGTCCCATGTCCCCTCTGCTGGACTTCACGCATCCAGACGTCAGGCTCTAGAGTCTGGGTCCGGGCCTCCCTAGCGACACCTCCTTCCCCCGGGAGAACGAACCGCCCGTGTGCTCCTGTCACAGACGAAAATGCTTAATAACTTTTCCACAAATACAATATTCATAAATCGCTGCTTCCAATCTAGATAATAGATCACCTGGGCCGACACCGATGTATTGTCTTCCCTTCCAATAGCTCATATTGTGATGACTCACTGCTTTCTGCTTAACACAAAAGGGAAGCATTATTGTGTTGTCGTGACTGTTGCTCAAAACAGATTAGACATCTGCCTTGTTGAGTGTTTGTGAAGACATTTCATCAGAAATACAAAAGAAAATGAGTCTTATTGTAGCAGAAGCAATGTCACTTAACTCTCACTCTATAACCTGAAGGACACTGCTCATGATGAATATAAACTCATGGTTTATATGAGTTTATATTCATCATGAAACTCGCCTTAAAAGTGTGAAAATTAAAGTTTTTTACTCAAAAGGAAGATGAAAGACTAGTTTGCCTTCTGTTACAAAGGAAAACATGACCACTTTGGTCCAGACTGAAATATTTCAGCAACTATCAGATGGATTACCATGAAATGTTATACAAAGAGGATGAATCCTTGACTGAAAATGACTCTGGTGATTGTCTGACTTTTGCTCCTTTTCACCATGACGTTGACATTTGTCTTTTTGAGTGAGACGTCTCCACAACAATTGGATGGATTGTCATGAATGCTGACATTAGCGCCACAGAGCTGCTAGCAGGACTGTAGTAGACTCTTAGTCTTTTATTAAATCTGGGACCCTTTTATTATTTTAATATTATTATTTTTGTTTTCTATTTTTAGTTCTTGTCCTTACTCTGTTTTGAATGTTGCTGTAATGCATGTTTATTCTTTATATAAAGCACTGCAGTATTCCAAAGGTTCTCTACTAAAACATTTTGAATTAATAAAAGGAACATCTTATCTTATGTGCGTTTCCTTTAGTCTTTATAAAAGATGCAATGTTTTCTAAGGTGAGGAGGACAGTCAGTGAACTGTCCTTCTGCTGAGGACTTACATGTTTTGCAAAGTTAGACACCTCGTACTGCAGAAACCCATGCTGGTGCAGAGTCCTCCTGGCACACTGGTACATCTCAGCTGTCACGTCTTCAGCGGGAACAGTCACCTCTCCTCCTTGCACCTGTTTGAACAGCTGAGTGCCGCGCTCCAAGGTCAGCTGGTACAGAGACATGTGGTCGTCGCACACCCTCAACAGCTTAGACAACTCGTTCTCCCAGGATTCAACGCTCTGTTTGGGCCGGCCGAACATTACATCTACCGACACCCTCCCCGGGCACAGCCTCCTGGCCTCTTCGATAGTTTGCAAGGCCTGACGAGAACTGTGGTCTCTTCCCAGAATTTTTAAATCGTCATCCTGCAAAGACTGAAGGGTTGAAAATGTGACATTAAATGTGAGACTGTGCAACTGTGCAGGTTACAATCCAATCTTCTGTGATCAGTCTTCTGTAGATCATATATTCACCTGGACCCCAATGGAGAAACGGTTCACCCCAGCACGGCAAAAGTCCTCTAACTTTGACATTCCCACGGGAGTAGGGTTGACCTCGAGCGTGACCTCGGCCTTTTCTGAGAGACTCGCCTGCCCGGAAACAGTTTCCAGGACGGCAGCAACGGTGGAGGGGTGAGCCAGGCTTGGAGTCCCACCACCGAAAAATACAGAGGTAACGCTGCATGGAGAAATCAAAATGAAAAGGTGGGTGAAAGCTGGAAAAAAGGGGGAATACTTTGACAACTGCATGTGGAAGGTCTAACAAATCACCATACCAGGATACCTGACTGAGCTGCAGCAATGTCTCAGTCTCCTTCTGGAGGCACTCTGTCATCATGTGGTCGTTGTTATCTCTGGATATATACTTGTTAAAGTTGCAGTAGGAACACCTCCTGAGACAGTAAGGCCACTGTAGAAAGGAGGAAGGTGACTTTTATAAGATTTCGGCCCAAACTTTCTAGACATGACATATCGAATAATAATATTTAATCAGTTTAATTGACCAAAAGCTCACATGTACGTAAAGCGACGCCTGCGTGGTGAGCTGTGCACAGCCCGTCCGTTCAGACACATCTTCAACTATTTCTCCGCCGGAAGTGTCAGAGAAGCGGCGCACACCGGGAGAGAGGGCACGTCTGGCCGCACGCAATGACATCATCCTGGTGGCAGTATGTCTGTCTGTCTGTCTGTCTGAAGCCTGAGTCGAGGTCGTCCTTCACTTGAGCACATGGTCCCATTACAGCGGCTAGGCGCTTTCATAAAGATGACGCCCGTGTCAAAGTTTCCATGACAACTGTCCGGCCAAAGTAGCGTGCTCTCCTTTTGACTGTTTACGTCGTTTTACGTCTCTTTCGGGTAGCTGTGACGTTGTTAAACAAACAGGAAGTACATAAATGTGATTTCCTCTTCGTGTGTTACGAGGTTTGACCACACGGGGGCGCTGTTTACCATGAGCAGTTTGCTGTATTGCACACATGAGTTTCCACTGCAGTGTCAGATTAATGCAATTGTTGGGTGAATTAACCCCTCTCTGCAGTTTGGGGTCTATTTCTACCTGATTTTCTTCTGTTTAGCACCTAATAGCGTCTCATGTAAACACATAATAAAGGCTTAAATTGAGAGAGAAACCATTAAATGTAAAAACATAAATTACTGAATTTATGAATCTCCATGAAAATGAGTGTTTCCTCCACACTGAGCCTACTAAAATTTGAACAATTTTCCATTTTCCATTCCTCTTGTTCACAACTCTACTGAATTTCAGTGTGAGTGTGAACATTACTAAGGTAATGCAATCAGTAAGCAGTGCACGTATATCAAAACCTTTTCAAATACTTTCATCCATTTGTAATAAATCACAAACATTTGTCACTTTAGCTATATCATACATGCAGCATGCTCATCGGGAACAACAAGTACAGGTGTCAGAGGAAAACTATAACAAAGGCAAGAAGCCCTCATAGAGTTTATGCTCCTAATGTTAATGTTTTGAGTTTACATGAACATCTGAACATGTAGCCTATTTGTGTTGGCTTTTTGGCATGAGGCTAAATCACATATCAGCAGATCTTTGTAAACACTGTTATTTGACCCTAGTCTATATTTGTAATATAAATTTGTGCTCTACGCACACAGGATCAAACTAATTTAATGAGCTATTGATTTCCCTGAGAAAAAAACAAACTGGTGGACTCACAGTGAGATAACCTTGTAGGGTCACCATTAAAATCTAAATGTTAACTCGAACAGAGAAAGAAAAATTTAACACTGTGCAAATGTTTATAAAAATGTTCACTTATCAGGCTTACAGTAAATTAAATCTCTTCATCATTTTGAGATACTCAGCTCTGTTAGTGGACAAACAACCCTCTAGTCAATGCTTGTTTTATTCAAATAATTACCTTTTATCAGCATTAATTAACATGGGAGAGTTTGTTGTGATTATGATGGTTATACAAATCTCAAATCACTAAATAAATAAAGGAGGCAGTCAACATCCTCTACCTAAATTATGTATATACAATATTGTCAACGTACAAACTACAAATGTACAAAACACAGCAGTTTATTTAGTAATTAATTTAATCTAAGTTTTTCATTAAAGATGTCAATAAATGGGAATGTGCTTACTGTCAGCCTCCAACCCTGGGGACATTTTCCACTAATATTAAATCTGGTGCCCAATAACCTAATCAACGAGAGAGAGAGAGAGAGAGAGAGAGAGAGAGAGAGAGAGAGAGAGAGAGAGAGAGATTAGGTAAAAGAACAGGGGTGTGTTTTCATTGAATATGCTACAGCGGTTGTGATGAGTTCAGTCCAGTGAGAAGCTGGAGAACTCTATGATCATACAAAGTGAATCTGTGCTGTAAATCTGCCAAATGGATAAGAGGAAGAAAGGTAAGATCACTGGTTTATTATATACAGGGGGTAAACGAACATGAAGACTACTCTGCTTTACTTAAATTTAACGTACAAAGCTAAAAAAAAATAAGTTGGAATTTATAATTTATTGAGTTTTTAGCTTTGCTAACAGCCTCAGCGTCAGTTGGTTGTCGGTCCAACGAGTATTTGATGGATTGCCATTAAATATGGTACAGACATTCATGGGCCACAGGAGATCAAGCCCAATGACTTTGATGATCCTCTGATCATTTATCTAGTGCTACTAATAGATAAAAAAAATGATTTATCTCAGTATCTCATCATCTACTCGACAGATTTTATACAGACATTGGTGATCTCCAGAACCTTCCTCTAACATCAACATGATGTTGCTGTTTGAGATTTTGAATGAAATTGAATAAACTGGATTTTCATGTACTTTGCTACACACATTCATGCTCTCTTTATGATTAATTGTAATCTGACTGTGTTACATGTTGCACCATCAACAGATCAGTGAACAGAAGGTGAAAGAAAAAACATGCTGTAAATAAAAATAAGTGTGAGCAAATGCACATTACTTTTTTGCATTCACATGGTGATATTTCTCAAACTGCACTGAACCTCTTCACAGGATCTACCACAGAATTAAGGCTTATGGTGGTCGGTAGCCGTGGGCCTTCACAGTTCCAGTTAACGAATGCCATACTTGGGAGAGAGGAGTTTTCTAAGGATATCACAAGCATTTCTGACAGCAGAAAGAATATTGGAGAGCTGGCAGGAAGACGAGTGGCTGTGATCAATGGACCAAACATCTATTACAAGGATATATCTCAACCGAAAAGGAAGATGGAGCTGAGAAGGTCTAAGTGCTTATGTATTCCTGGTCCACATGCCTTTCTTGTTGCTCTTGACATGGATAAAGTCTCCCCAGATGACATGAGAGCTCACAAACTGATAAGAAAACTCTATGGAAGACACTGTCTAAGGCACTGCATGGTCCTCCTGGCATATGAAGGAAATATGGAGGAAGCTGCCCTGGAAAACAGGGTGCAGAAGACTGACTGGCACCTGAGAGAGCTGATTGAGAAGTACGGTGGGCGCTTTCATGTTTTCAGCAAGAACTGGAGAGATCGCAGCCGGGACCGAGAGCTGCTACAAAAGATAGAACGGATGGTGGCATCCTTAGGAGGGGGCTACTTCTCCAGCAGAAGTTTCCAGAAGGCAGAGGACAGCGTGAAGAGGGAGGAAAAGAAGCTTCGGAAGAAGAGGGCAGCAGAGATAGAGAAGGCATGGACTGATGTGGAAAAGCAATACATAGCGGAGGAGGAGCTGTATCACCAGAAGGATGCCTCCACCACCAGTGTCGGTGCAGAGATCAGAGCCAAGGCGGAGATGGACAATGGATGGCTCAGAACGTCCCTGGCCAGAGGACTTGGGACTGGTCTTGTTGTGGGAGCTGTCGTGGGTGCACTGTTTGGGTCCATAGAGGGACCAGGTGGGATGGTTCTTTATGGGATCATAGGTGGTGCAGTAGGTGGATCGGCAGGAGGAACAGCCCAGGTAGCTATAAAGCATATGGAGAACAGAGTGGCGCCTCCTGCCAGACTCAACTTTAACTCAATTTTCATCAATCGCTTTTTTGCAACTCCACGTCCATAACAGCATGGTATTGACTTAGGACCTGTTTTTCAGGAATAAAGGGATCATGTGCATTTAAATGTATCTGTTGCTTTTGTAGCTTTCAGGCTGACTTGATACCAAATTAGATAAGGAAATGTGCAACCCCCTTTAGGTTGAAACACAAGCTTCACTGATTCTACACTATGCTTGGGTTTTGGAACAGAACTGCTTAAGAGGATTACTAATGTTCAAAAACAGTAAATCTCATGATAAGTGTCATGGCTGTAAAACAGTATTTTGAATAAACCAAGTTGTCCAACATTTCCTGGTGTCTTGCTGTAGGTTAGTTGAAGTGTAGCTCAGATAACATTCAGGGTGGAGACTCAACTGAGAGTGCCATTGTCTAAAGCACTGCCCCTTTGCTAGACAACACACACATACCTAAGTGCACCTGTTGAGTGCTCACCGCCTTCAGAGTCTATGTATTATTACATGAAACTGTGAATTGAAGCAGTGTAGACCGACTACAGTGTTCCCTGGACAAGATCAACTGGGATAGGTAAGACCACCTTTGCCTCAGTTAATGTTTTTATATTAGTTTCTGTTTCAAGTTACTTACAGACAGAAATCAGACCTGTGAATCATTTATGAGCGTGTTGCATAATCCGAGATTGTTTCCTACTTGAATGTCACAGTGTGGTCAGGACGAAACTTAGGAATCACATGAAAAACAACATTAGGATTTCAGTGGTTGCTGCTTTTTGTTGAGTTGTTCGGTAGTGCACTGTAGCTTTCTGATGACGTAACAAAGTATTTTGTTGCTACCAGTTTGACAACATACTTTACATCACATCACACCAAGTGCTTGCTCATGGTGGTACTGTTGGGTCTCTGTAATTAATGTTAAAGAGTTCGGTCTAGACCTGCTCTATTTGAAAAGTGTCCTGAGATAACTTCTGTTATGAATTGGCGCTATACAAATAAAATTGAATTGAATTGAATTGAATCTATTACTTGGCTGCTTCCGCTCTCTAGAGTATTATCTGTCCTTGATCACAAAGAAATTCTTTTTAAGTCAGATGTCTTTGACACTGACAATAAGAGTAAGACACTGTGGTAGAAAACGATCCGAGGACTTTGTTGTGGGAAGCTGTTGAATGTTATTTCAGTGGATTAAAAGAGAACCACACATCCTGTTCTTTGTGTATCATTATATAATATGAAAGGAATGCCATTCTGCTTAAAACCATGAGGTCCCTGAGAGCCTGAGTGCTGCATAGCTGAGCTGCAAATATTTTCACAATTCAGTGTAAATTTGTTTAAGTAATCAGTGGCAAGTACTTATAGTTCAAGATTGAATATTTGATTTGATTAGTTAATTAAGTTCAAGTTTCAAGTTTATTTCATTTATAAAGAAACCTTAAAAGCAGGGTTTTTGCAGGATTTTGATTGCAGGACTTCTACTTGTAATAAGTATTTTGTTATATATGTAGGCCTATTGGTACTTAAGTAAAGAGATCTGAGTACTTCCACCACTCATATGAATATGTACTTATTTTCAGTTAGTATGTCCTGTATAATGTTCAAACTTTTTTCTATGACATTATTATATCCTACTTTAAATGTCAATTGCACAAAATAGAGATGCCCTCCTTCCGTTTGTTTATCAAAGTATTTGTATGGGAACTTCTCAAGTCAAGTTGTGGTTTTCTCTATGTTACCTTTTTGGCCACAGAATAAAAAACAATGCCAAAAGATTTTTCACACTTTGTTGTCATTGTCATTTTCAGACTATGGCCACTACAATTAGCCTCCTTCCTGAGAAGCACTTCTTGTGCTCTCTGTGTAGAGACATCTTCACCAGCCCAGTGACCATACCATGTGGACACAGCTTTTGCTTGTCTTGTCTCTGTCGCTACTGGGCACGACACCAGTCCAAATACTGCCCCCACTGTAAGAGGGTGTTTACTGGCAGGCCTGACCTCAGTGTCAACCGTATTCTGGCAGACCTCTCAGACAAGTACAGGAAGACTCGTCCAGAGAAACCACCTGATGAGGAAATGGTACTTTATTGCATTTGTCACTTATATTATCATAGTTGACATTGTCTGATAATAATTTTGCATATGCCGTCACGGTTGCAGGTTGTAGATGTTGAGCAAATGATTCAGGAAAGGCTACAGAAGATAGAAAGGTTCAAATTTTCCCTTAATCTCCAAAAGGTGCGTTGAAAATCACTATATTATTCAGATTTTTGTTTTAAAAAAGTATATTGCTCAATGATGATGCATGATTATATCCAATCAGAACTCTTACCTCAGAGAGGTGCGAGAGAGCCAGAAGGTCTTCTCTGCCCTCGTAAATGCTATGGAGAAGAGTCACAAAGCAGTCGTTTCAGCAATTGAGGAGAGACAGGCAGAGGAGGAGAGGAGAGTAAAAACACTGGTGGAAGAGCTTGAACAGGAGATCCATGAGCTGAGGAGGGAGACCACTGAATCTGATCCTCAGATTCCTGTAAACAGTGATCAGAGTGATGACAAGAAGCAGGTAAGCAGCTTTACCGTATGCAGATAATATAACGGTAATGGCGAAGCGCTGACACTGGCTGCCATCAGTGAAATGTCTGTGTTTATGTCATGCAGGACATTTCCACAGTGCACCCCTCTGAGATGAAGGACTGGTCCAAGGTTACCATAGAAACTGACCCTTGTGTTGGGGTCACCAGACGAGCACTGTCAGACATGATGGAACAGATTAAGGTAGAAGTCAACAGGCTCTCAAAATCTGGTGAGTAATGCAATTAATTACTCACTTAATTCATTATCTTTTATTTATTAATTCAGTATTTTACAATGAATTCAATGACAGTGACATTTCTTTCCCCTCTTCTTTGACAGAACAAAAGAGAATAGAGAAATACACAGGTAAGGCTTAGAGCACTCAGAAACAAATATAAGGACTCTACGCAAATTATACCGGGGGCGTTATGTATTTTTTCTTTCCTTTTTAGCTTTTTGAGAATTTATTTTTTTAACATCCCAAATTTGTATTTCAGCATTAAAACAATAAAAAAGATACAGTTCTCTGGGTTTGAATGGAAACATTTGAGATCATGTTTGAACACAACTCAACAAAATATATAACATTTTTAGACATTTTAACGTGGAAATGTCATATATTAGTAGGCCTATATCATAATTCAGCCTTTTGTCATATTTGACATAAACTTGGAAATGGCTGATTCCACCAGTTGTGAATGATTGATGAATGATTTTATATTCTTGATAATAATTAATATCCATGCCTCTGTAGGGTTATGAAATTTAAAAAACTGAAATGTAAGATTTTACCCCACTTCCCACTCAAGTAATTTTCTTACAGTCCCATAGCGCTAAATATGTCCATGCTGTTTGACCCATTCTTGACCTGTTCTCCTCCTTCTTTCTTAGTGGATGTCAATCTGAGTGCCAAGACAGCCCACCCCTTCCTCTTTGTCTCAGACGACAGAAAACAGGTGCGACACACAGACAAGCTTCAGGAGGTGCCAGATAACCCCAAGCGGTTTGACCGTGTGGCAAACGTGTTGGCCAAAGAGAACTTCAGCAGTGGGAGGTGCTATTGGGAGGTGGAGGTCGGGGAGAAGATTGAGTGGAACCTGGGTGTTGTCAGACAGTCCATAAACAGGAAAGGCAAGTTCACTGTCTGCCCAGCAAATGGTTTCTGGACTGTAAGCCTGAAGGCTGGAGGCCAGTACATTGCCAACACCTCTCCTGTCACCCCGTTGGCTCTGGAGCAGAGACCCAGGAAGGTGGGCGTGTTTTTGGACTACACAGAAGGCCGCGTGTCCTTCTACTGTGCAGAATCTGGAGTCCACATTCACACCTTCACAGATACATTTACTGACAGGCTTAATCCATTCTTCAGTCCTGGTCGCCTGCATGGTGGCAAAAACGCTGCTCCCCTAATCATCAGTTCTAGTTTCTGCAGCATCTAAAAATCATATTTAATGCAGAATTATTATAAATCTCCAGTATAGATACAGTTGTTGTGCTTTTGATTATCTTTTTAGTATCAATCCAGTGTGTCAAATGTATTTATTAAGTTACAAATCCATATGAAAAACTACAGCGAACCACATTTTCCCTGTCAGAACAGTGAACAAGAGGTTGCATAAGGACTGACCCCCTACACTCGAAAAACTTCAATGAAACCCATAAACAGATTGAAAAGGAAAGAGGAGGGTAGAAGAAAAGAAAAGGCTCTCATAAATGAACAAGTAAGTCAAAGTCAAAAAGAGGAGAAAATAGGTTGCTGAGTTGGATGGACGCGAGGGGCTGCAGGGTAGGGACAGAGGTTGACGAGGAGCAGGGAGGGAGGGCACAGCCAAACAGCAGGGCATTGTGCTCGTACACCAGGCACTGGGAGACACACTCAAACACATTCACTCATTCACACACTGACACGGTGGTGCACACAAGCGCATGCTTCTGCCCACTGCCACACAGACTTGCGCTGGCATCTCAGAGGGCAGCCCCATCTCGAGTCCAGTCCTGGATGTCGAAGCTGATCGACCCTCTCTACTTCAGTTCACCTGACCTCTAAAGATAGAGCCTGCCCTGCTCTCCAGCCTTCCTGTGGACTGAACTGAATTCTCAGGGCCGTCATTCACAAATCGAGACAGCCCAGCTGATCTACACAAGTATTGGAGCAGTAAGACTTACCTGTGGACCAAGGAGGGCAGTGAGAGTACTTCATTTCAGGTAAATATTACTAATAATATCCTCTATCAGTGCATTAGTGACATTTCCAAAAAAGTCAAAAAACTATTTGACTGAAAAACAGCTACATTTGTGTGTGTGATGAGTTATTCTTCTATTATATGTTTAGCTGCATTACAATTTAATAATTCTATTCAAGTAGTCAGTGTTGAAGGCATGTGTATGAAATTGCTCTTGCTTCATAGCAGTGCAATAATCTCCTGTAAAAAAGGCAGAGCCATTAGTTGGACCAAAGATAAGGCACAGATCCTAAAGTGTGGTCTGGGGGCTTTCAGGGACCTTTATGGGACTACAAAGAAGGAATAATTTATTACTATAAAGTTGTGCACAGTATGTTGTAACAGTGGGGGAGTGGACGCTTGTCCATTGAATATTCTAGTTTTGAGGATTGATATGATCCATTGTTATCTGCCCACTTACAAAACCTAATCTAATAATAATTCTCTCAGATGGGGGTCTATTGGATGCATGTTTACTTTAAAGTGGTCCAATTGGTAAAGCCTATCCGTTTACATTTGCTTCCATTACTCCTAGTCATGCAGCAACCCATGGATTGATTGTGCAGAAAGGGTTTTGATTCACAGAATTGTAAAATGTGGATACTGAGAGCTGTGATAAGTAGATGACATAGGTCCTCCTGGCCCACTCTACAAGCCTTCATGAAAGATGCTTGTGTTCAGAGTCTCCTCATGTTTTTCTGAGATAATCCACTCACCCGGCAAGGCGTAGCTCAACACCCACAGCTGTGTCAAAGACGGCTATTCTCTGTGGTTCTCATTGGAATCCACTAAACATGGGCCTCCCAGCTTGTTTCCAAATATTTATGATAAATATATGCTCCATTAGTCTTTTCATACTTTACTACTGCTCATTGTTGTAACAGTGTGAAGTGTTTGAATCTGTGAGCTTTACAGCACCATCTGTGTGATAAATTGAAAAGATCATTTGAAAGTGGTTATTTTCTGAATTTCAGGAACACCTGTCCTTGCCTAACCCAAGCTGAACTCGACGGCATCATCACCCAAAGACTGAAGATCCAGTAGTGGAGCACAATTTTTCCAGTACTGTAGACTGTCACATTTCTTTGTGGGACTATAAGTGGGCCCTTTCCAACAAACAGATACTAAAATAAAACCAAGACAAATCCATCTGATTCAAACAACACCTTTCACCATGGCAACCACAGGCATGCAGTTGCTGGGGCTAATCATGTCCATTGTGGGCTGGGTGAGTGGGGCGATAGTCTGTGCCATCCCCCTGTGGCGAGTCACTGCCTTCATCGGTAACAACATAGTGACCGCTCAGATCATTTGGGAAGGCCTTTGGATGACTTGCATCGTGCAGAGCACAGGTCAGATCCAGTGTAAGGTGTATGACAGCTTGCTGGCTCTGCCCAGTGACATGCAGGCTGCCCGAGGCCTCACCGTGTTCTCCATCATGATCTGTGGCGTGGCTCTGGCTCTGGGGGTCTTAGGAGTCAAGTGTACTAAGTGCATCGGTGTAAACAGCACCAAGGCCCGTATTGCTCGCATCTCTGGCGCCCTCTTTGCCATTGCAGGGTTCCTCTACCTTGTGCCCGTCTGCTGGACTGCCCACTCCATCATCAGGGATTTCTATGATCCACATGTGGCGGCCCCACACAAGCGTGAGCTTGGCCCTGCTCTTTACATCGGCTGGGGGGCATCATCCTTGCTCCTCATTGGGGGATCTCTGCTCTATGCTGGGTCAAGTCCCCCTGGCATCCCTGGCTCTCCCACCTTCAGCAGTGGAGAAAGTAGTCCTCGCAGGGCACCTGCCACACAGGTCAAAGGTTATGTTTAAGTTTCCAAAATGTCTGAATGCCTTTAAGTCCCACAAATACACCCCAAAAGATGACATACCTGATTCCTCTCCTTTTGATTTTGCTTCTTGTAATTATTTTATATTTAATGTTCTTCCAGTTAGCTTTTTTCTCTGAAAAGCCACAGGAGGCTATTTAGAGGAAATTGAACTCATTTCATTATTTCATACCTGATATCCTTCAATAACCTGTTTTTTCTGTCTGTCAGTGTAAAATACAATAAAATGTCCTCCAAATCCTCTTCTGAGGGAAATGGTGTGTGTTCACATTTGTGTTTGAGAGAAGTGGTTTTGTAGTTTTAAAAAGAAAATCTTTGTTTTGCTCATTTATGTCAACACTATAGGGGTTCTGCTGAGTGGAGAAGAACAATAGAACAATGGGGATGTGTGTGTACATTTGCTTGTGGTGCCATATTGTGAGAAGTGTGTGTGCGTGTGTGTGTGTGTGTGTGTGTGTGTGTGTGTGTGTGTGTGTGTGTGTGTGGTCATCCATCTCCTATCTTCCATCAACTCTTCTCTGTCTCAGCTACCCGGAACCATGGACAAAGAAAAATACATTATCTTTGTTTCGCAACATAAAGAAATCCTGTTATTCCTTCAAATAACGACAAATACGCTCTCCTAGCGCAAGTGATCTCGAAGCTAGTTATGTTTCCATACCATCACATATCCAAACTGATGATAATATGATATTAAGAAAAAAACAGATCAACCCTCAGAGGGTGCAAGACTGTAATGCATGTGTGAGTGCCTATCTGTCAGTGTCTCTGTGCGTAAGTATGTAATGTGGGATGTTATGAGCCACACTGGAAAACGAATAATCTTTATTCATGAGACATTGTTCAGATCTCTCAGATTCTCCTTTACTTTGAAGAAAATGATGATCCACAGAGAGTTTACAATGACAACAATTATTTTTTTTTGAGTTTGGTTACTGTACATGTACAAATCATACGCCCGCCATTTGTTTTCTAATGGTTGTAAACTAAATTGTAAATCTGATCACGGCTGTGAAGGGGATGTATGGATCCATCAGTTTTGCTTTTCTTTCTGTCCGTAACAGCAGAGGACAGAGCAACACAATGCCACTTTATGGAGCATTACAGCACCACAATAACAATGGGCACCAGTGTTCCAAGTGCCAGGTAGTGACTCATACATGACCTAAGTAGGCCTATACCAATGTTGGTAGAGTAATGCAAATACAGTAAGACAGTCTGTGCTATTTTACTGTACAATTGTAATAGGGGAAACGTAGAGTGAGACAAGGGCACTATTTACATTGTAAATAATCAGTGAAGTGTCTCAAAATAGCTCTAAAGGTGTGTTACCAACAATACTATAGAATTAGTCATACACAATGTAAGTGTACTAATGAATCGATATCATTCACAGTGACGTAAACCACCCACATGGTCAACTACACAACACCCAATGACTTGTTCAAGACACACAGTCTGATCTTCACCATTCTGCTGTTCATATAGATCTTAGGTGATCTATTTTCTATACAAGTCAGTGGGGGAAGAAGTATTTGTATCCGTTTCTTAATTATTTTTTTTTCAGAATTTAAAAACACGACCTTACAAGTAAAAGTCCTGGGGCTGAATTACATAAACTTCTTATCTTAAGTCTAACATTAAGATAGAAAGAGTCTACGATAAGAAACAAACTAACTTTAGGAATCCAATCTCACTTTACTTCACCCTATCTAATCTAAGGTAAGTAAATCCTAAATACTCAACCCGACACTGTTTAGCAACTTTCATGTCTGTTACCTAGCAACCATTGCTACTTTTCTCATCTTGCCAAGCTAAACAACTTTGTAACCGTTGTTTTTTCTCATTGAAACATACTGCAACATACAATGAAACATACAAAAATTGGAACAAAATGATGTTGGGCACTTAACAACACTAACTCAGGAGATAAAAGAGAAGTCACATGGATTAAACCAATTAGCTAACACTACCTGGTGGAAAAGTGAAAGTAAGGACAGCTTGACGGTTATCTTAAAGTTAGGAGTTTATTTAAAATTTTGGGACGTTAATGTTCTTATGTAACACACTTTTCTCATCTTAAGCTATAGGAATGTTGACTCAGTCCTAACTCTAATTACCATGGTTACCAAACAGGTAGGAGCGCATCTCCAAGTTAGAAAAGTTTCTGTCATATGGCCCCCAAACTCTTAAAGGGCCCAGCATAATTAGATTACATTGATGACATTCACGCATTTACATGGAAGCAGCATTTTCAGGAGAAACGTAACACCAGGTTGGAAAGCGGGTTCAGTGTTATGCCTGTTTCACCTCTGATGACACTGGTTGGGTGTGGACAGACTCGTGCTTTGTTGCAGCTGTAACCACACCCCGACAATGACGTCACGGTGTCCTGGAGTACAACTGTACATCACTGCAGAGTCTTTTCCACTCTTCATTCACTGTCCCCCTCACTTGTGTAAAAGCACGCTGATATTTTCTTGTGAATGTGGTTAATATAAATCAATTATAAAGCTAGAATGCTTTAGTTTTACAAGTTGAGACTGTCATTGGGTATAGGCTTACTTATCATCCTCCAACCATGGATTTGAGACACTGGTCGTCCAGCTCAAAAGCAATCAGTTCACAGCCAAGAGTTGTGGATGATGTCACTTTCTTTGTTCCATCGTACCAGTGCTGTTGAACCAGACACCACCGTGGATGATTTAGCTGAGGACGGGCCTAAACAGGTCAGTCTCCACACCTACCCCAAGGAGCCTGTTTGGGAGTGAGAAGATATATTTTCTTGTTGCCTTCTGCCAGAGGACAGACTGGCTGGTGTACTCAATGAATGCACATGGCTTTGTGAACAATGTAAAATGTGTGTATTTACACTTAATTGAAGAATGAAAATGAATAAAATAAAAATAAATAAATGAAAATGCATTGATTTTTAGTAATTTTTTGTTTCTCAAAATGTTCTTCTGCTGATCATACTACCGAATATAGTTTCACTTACATTGCCACTTGCCAGTAATTTGATACCCATTGCTATAGGAGGTCAGGAAAACAAGATTTTCCGGGAGTGTTATTTTTACGCTTTAATGTAGTTGCTGGTAAAGGTCAAGCTCCTTTTAACTAGCCTAGATCTACTTTACTACTTACTATATAATTATTTAACTATTACTATTATTTAACTATATAATATATATATATATATATATTATTCTGTATGGTCATTATATATTTCTAAAATCCCATCTGCAATTTAACAGGTAAATAACAGTTATATAAATGTAGTAAAAACGACCTAAAACTAATGTTATCTTGTGATCCTCCCTCAATGTAACCTACTTGTAGTTGCACGTATCCGTCGCTAGGGGAAGAAAGACCCGGTGTTGTTGTTTCTACGGCGGAAGCAGGAAGTGGGAAGAACCGTACAGCTGTGGCTTCGTGGCTAACAGAGAAGCTAACAGGCTAACCATCAGCGGTGAAAATATCAGGATCCGTGGACTGAACAAAACTCCTCGACAGCTACTTTAAGACGCTGAGTCTAATATGGGGAAAGGCGGAGGCACGTTTGAGAGGCTCTTGGGTAAGTTATCAGCACACTCGTTAAGTTAATAGTTTATTAGTTCGCCAACTACGAGTCAAAGTGCGATGTTTTCCAGCGTATTGTTGTTTTGACAGACGCTGGGGCTGTGGCTCCCAGGCCAGCTAGCTCATTTTAGCCTGCTAACAATCCCACTGCTATTGTTTGGAGGCCCGGAGAGGCTAACTATAATTAGCACCCCGGCTAAGTAGCGAAAACAATCACGTTTGTTCTTTTATTTTTTGCAGGGTCTAATCAAAGCTTACAGTCCTCTATCCTTGTGTTATCTTCGGTGCTATTAGCCAAGCTAAGGCAGGCTGTTAGTTGCCTTGAGGTTCATATCAGCCTCACACACCAGAATATATCGTTAGCTAAACCAACAGCAGTGTTACTGTATATCTTCTAATGCCATGGCTCGACTATCCCATGAAAGCCAGACAGCCAAGTACAACATTGGTTATTTGTGAGATATTTCTAGTGTTCTCTTAAGTTTAAAAAAAGAAAAATCCACAACAGGTTGATTAGCGAGTTGCTTGACGGGTGTAAAATTAGCCACGGTATTAATATTTTCTTGTGTAGATCCACGTTAGATGGCCAATTATATAAGCTTACTCTAGCATATCTCTGGAAAAACAACTTTGTAATACCCTTGAAGTTGGTGTTGGTGGTTTCATGAGTCATGTTGAAAATTGACAGTCATGTTAGATAAAGTTAAATGAACAGTTATGTATTAACAAACCTTTCAGCTGACAGTGAAGGCAAGATTAACCTTCCCCCCAGCCCCATGTTGATAGACCACTCTGTGCATTTTGTACAGTATTTTTTTCTGTGATGGAATAAAACTTAGTTGGTTTGTCTGGTTCTTTATGTGTGGACATTTGAAACACATAAATGTAGAAATACACACCATGTAAGCGCAATATCTGCTTATGCAATAACGTTCCTAAAACTAGATGTAGACACAGGGCCTCACAATCATGTACAAAGCAAAACACAGCCCTTATCATGTGAGCTGATAGCTGTGCATATCCCCACAGACACAGTTAGTTCATTTATCACCTCGGACAAATTGCCAAGCAGTCAGAGTCTGGGATTTTCAGGGTTGGAGGCAGTTGCCTACTTTGGCCAAATCAAATGTCATAACACTTAGGATGGAATCAGTAATGAGACAATATTTTGGGAATGAGTGTAGGTACAGACATGTCAGTTTTGAGAAAGTTCTGAGATTTAACACCTCTCTAAAAAGTTGCAATATATGGCAGTATGTACATATACATTATATCTATTTTTAAAGACCAGGTGGACATGGTTTCCATAAAGCAAGTATGTAACACGTGGAGGACTGTTAGGAGAGGAGGAGGTGCGTTATTTTTTGTGACATGCTTGTTTGGTGTAGTAGATATAGTGTGGTAGATATTAGACAGACAGTGCATGTGTTGAAGCTGTAACCATATGAACTAATTGCAGATAAAGCCACCAGTCAGCTGCTGCTGGAGACTGACTGGGAATCCATTCTGCAAATCTGTGATCTTATTCGCCAAGGAGATGCCCAGTGAGTGATTCTGCCCACTTCCTGCAAATTTATATTACATAATTTATATCCTTAGTTGTTAAAGCCATAGCTCAATTGAGTATTGGGTTCAACAAGTGTGTTTTGCTGACTCAACTTATTGCTAGGACAATGTTTTGACCAATACTTGCCTTGTCATTGCAGAGCTAAATATGCTATTGGGGCCATTAAGAAGAAGCTGAATGACAAAAATCCACATGTGGCCCTCTATGCACTTGAGGTAAGACGTGTGTACAGTGGAAAATGAGCCGCTGAAGTATTTCTCAGCTAGAATAAACAGAGTTGGCATAGTGAATGATTATGTGGCCTCACTCTTCAGGTCCTGGAGTCAGTGGTGAAGAACTGTGGCCAGACAGTCCATGATGAGGTGGCCAGTAAACAAACTATGGAGGAACTAAAGGATTTACTCAAGGTGAACCTCGTTCTGTTAATATCTTAGACTTTATAAACCTGCTTTAATTTCTAACGTACTGTCTTCAGTCTTTGAGTTGCTATAATCCAGTTCTTCCAAAGTCCCCACATAAGTTACAAATGTACATTTATGCAAGTTTTGACCGTAGCTGTGGTCAGTACTGTCTTTTCATTGTGAAGCTGAATATTGTGAAAAGGTAGAACAGGATTTACAGAATCAGGTTTAGGTTTAGGCTACAACTAAGTCTTATTTTCGTTATCAATTAATCTGTCTTTTCTTATTTAAATCCATCGACTACGTGTTGAATCTATAAAGTAAAATGAAAAATGCCCACCACAGTTTCTAGGAGCTCAGGGTAACTCAGGAGCTACCAGCTACAGTAGCCAAAAAAACAAATATATTCAGTTCAGTCATATAAAATAGACATTAGGCAATAGGCAACCAGCAAATATGTGATTTTTTTGTTTGCTTAAACAACTGAAATTATTAATCAGTTGCCATAAATGATTTATCTTGTCAATCAACTTATTGATGAATTGACTATTTGTTTCCCCTCTAATCAGGCTAAATAATGTCTGTGCAGCTATGTATTAGTCTCCTGTCCTCCTCTGTCAAAGTAACATAAGCAGTGGAAAGTTTGGATACAGTGTTTTTTACCCTGTTACACACAGACAGGGTGATTTATCATGTTTCCCACCCTCTCTTTTGACTCAATGACTGCTCCCTGCAGTCAGGCATGTGGCTGCATCACAGCATGAGCTAGCAATATTTGATTGGATCCTTGCTATGTCATGTGACACAAGCTCCTTCAGACTGGCTTCCACTTCCTGATGATGTCATAGCCTTGTGACAGGAGGGTTTTTTTTTTCAGACCAAAGTAAGGGACTTCCCACCTCTGTTCATGTTGTTAAACACAATGTTGTTTGATTCAGTCTGTGTTTTAAAAGCTCAGGGCTACCAATGTTATGTGACAACAGAAATGTAGAATATAAACACAAGAGGGACTTAGGACAGGGATAGTTGTAAGGACAGGTTATTTTACTCTGTGTGGTTCTTTTGCCACCAGAAACAGACGGAACCAAATGTCAGAAACAAGATTCTGTACCTGATCCAGGCCTGGGCTCACGCCTTCCGCAACGAACCCAAATATAAGGTGGTTCAGGACACCTATCAGATCATGAAAGTGGAAGGTAAGTGGACATAAGCTGTATTTTTTCATGTTTTAGATGGATCAGATGAATGTTTCCCAATCCTGTTTTAGCTACAAGTAGTTTAAAGAAGAACAAATCCACATTTCTAGTTTTATTTACTCCTGTTAATGTGCTACTAGTATTATACTGCATGTTCAATGGGTCTGTTTTTCTTTTCTCATAGGTCACGTGTTCCCCGAGTTTAAGGAGAGTGATGCGATGTTTGCAGCTGAGAGAGTGAGATATTTGTTTTTTTTCTTAACTCACTGAAGTAGAGTTAGGTTTATCAAGTGGATGATATCTATAGAATCAGCACAAGTTGGTGCTGCAGCTATTTAGAAGAGAGGATGACTTTGTTGTACCACCGTATCTGTAGTCATATGTGATGTCTGCTCTGTCCAGGCTCCAGACTGGGTTGATGCTGAGGAGTGTCACCGGTGCAGAGTACAATTTGGAGTTATGACAAGAAAGGTAGGCTGGGCTTTCTTTAAACTAGGGCACTGAGAGATTTTATGGTTTCCTTCATTCAGTTACAGCCGTGTGTGTGAAGTATAAGTTTAAAGCGCATGTGCGGGTGGTTGACCTCGATTTTTGTTCTTTGATTTTCCAGCACCATTGTCGAGCCTGTGGCCAGATTTTCTGTGGAAAGTGTTCGTCTAAGTACTCCACCATTCCAAAGTTCGGCATAGAGAAGGAAGTGCGTGTGTGTGAGCCCTGCTTTGAGCTGCTTAACAAGTGAGTCCCCAGACTTGAACCACCAGAATGAGTGTGAAGTATAGTGGGTCTGGAAAGCGTGTCTAAATCTATCTCCAGCAATGTTCTTCACCTGCAGCATAATGCGGGTATGGTGAATCAAGTTATGCTTTATACTTTGTTGTTGAACCCAAGTATGCATTGGTTTTAGATTTAGATTCACTTTCAACCTCTATTGCTTCTTGTTTTCAGGAAAAAGATACAATACACTACCTTGTGTATACATTTTGCTGACAGCTTTACATGTTATGAACTTCTGTATTGAAATGTTGTTGTTTTTTTAGTCATTATTTTAGCTCTGTTTGTTAGGTAGTTATCAGTAGAACAGGTTTTTACTGATATCTGATGTAATATTACGTCATGGGCCAAAAAAAGATTTGATTTTATGAAACTAGTGCAACCATATAGGCATTTATAATGTGTTTAGTGTTTTTTTGCTTTTTATGATTTATTGATATTTTCTGTAGTATTTCCCAAGTATGGTACATAACACATTAGATGATCCTGAAAAAGCTGTTGTTTTTTGATATGCCATAAAATCATCTTAAAACAACTTGTGTGACAAAATTGGCTCTACTTAAACTTGATAACATTTCATATTGTTAGAATAACACATGACAGATATGCACATCCTGAGTTCTTTGTTGAATTGTTCTGTGTTTGGAGAGATTTTGGTGTTTTTAACAGCTTGTTCTCCTCTGATTTAATAGATTGTTTGTTCTCTCTGATCCCTTTTCCTCACCAGCCACCCCTCCCTTTCTCCTCCGCTTAGGAAAGCTGAAGGTAAAGCCCCCCCTGCAGGCCCCGCCGAGCTGCCTCCTGAGTACCTGACCAGCCCGCTGTCCCAACAGTCACAGGTCATTATTGAGAAACTAGAACTAGAAATTGAGAATCTGTAGTTGCGGTCAGACTGGTCATAGTTGAAATAAATCTGTCCGTATTAAAGAACAGCCTATAAAACAGACATTTATTGGTGTTATTTTATTATCTTCTTGGCTTCACCCTACTCTGTACTGGAGGATTTTTTTTCACCCACCCGCTCTCTCACCAGATGCCCCCCAAGAGAGATGAGGCAGCACTGCAGGAGGAGGAGGAGCTGCAGCTGGCCATTGCCCTTTCCCAAAGTGAGGCAGAGGAGAAGGAGCGGATGGTGGGTTGCACAACTGAAATTTTCGCTTTGTATTTAAAGTGCCTGTTTATAGAGAGAAACTGACACATACCTCTGTGTATACTTACAGAGGCAGAAGAACTCTTACTCAATGTATCCCAAAGCTGATCCCACTCCAGTGACTTCCTCTGCACCACCGGTCAGCACCCTCTACACTTCCCCTGTGGTAAGAACCTCTGGCACACTGAATTGCTTACACTACCAAACATGATTAAAGGTGTAAAGATCCACTTATTTTATAGCAAATTATTTAAATATGTGTTGTGTAAGTAACTATATACTCTCTCCAGAACTCCTCTGCTCCGTCAGCTGAAGATGTAGACCCTGAGGTACATGTTATATTTAGTAGTCTTTACTTTAATACCTCCATTAAGGCAGACTAATGGAAATCTTATATTGTGCTTGTAATACTGATGATCATATGTCACATTATTCCAGCTGGCCCGTTACCTGAACAGAACGTACTGGGAGAAGAAACAGGAAGAGGCTCGCAAGAGTCCCACCCCCTCAGCCCCTGCCCCTGTGCCATTGGCTGAGCCCCTTCCAGCAATCAGCCAGCCAGTAGAAACTCACGTCCCTGTGCAGCCAGTCAGCATAGTGGAGGTATGTTGAAACTTGCTGCTGAGAGCAGATGCATTAATATTTTTCATGTCTAGCTAAACTGGAGTGTGCAGACCACAAATGACGTTCTGCGCTTTGCTTCCCTCTCTTCCCTACCTTCAGCAGCAGTACCAAAACGGGGAGTCAGAGGAGAACCATGAGCAGTTTCTGAAGGCTCTGCAGAATTCTGTCACCACCTTCCTTAACCGCATGAAGAGCAACCACATGCGTGGGCGCAGCATCACCAATGACAGTGCTGTGCTCTCACTCTTCCAGTCCATCAATAACATGCATCCACAGCTGTTGGACATCCTCAACCAGCTAGATGAGAAGCGATGTGAGTGTTAGCTGTGCATTAGTTTGTGTGTCTGTCCTGTCATCCTGCGGGTCCAGTCTCTGAACTATCACATCGTGTATGTTACCTGCAGTGTACTACGAAGGGCTGCAGGACAAGCTGGCTCAAGTGCGCGATGCTCGGGCAGCCCTCAACGCCCTTCGGGACGAACACAGAGAGAAGCTTCGCCGTGCCGCAGAGGAAGCAGAGAGACAGAGGCAGATCCAGCTGGCACAAAAACTGGAGATCATGAGGCAGAAGAAACAGGTCATGAAATGAGGCTCTCTACTGAAAAAGTGCAGATATTCATTCACTGTTCATAACTGTACTCACAGGTGTTTGTCTTTGAACTGCAGGAGTACCTGGAGATGCAAAGACAGCTGGCCATCCAGCGCCTCCAGGAGCAGGAGAAGGAGAGGCAGATGCGTCTGGAGCAGCAGAAGCACACGGTCCAGATGAGAGCCCAAATGCCTGCTTTCTCTCTGCCCTACGCCCAGGTACACACTGCATACATCGTCACCAGCTGTCGGGCTAAACTCATTTTAAAGAGCTTTTAGTCAATGTGTATAGCACATTGGTAAAATCACACAGTGTAAATGGTCTGAATGGTCCTTCAGGTCACCTTAATTCTAATCAGCGGTAGTTTTTTTTTTTTCTATTGGTCTCGTTTGCCATTGAAAGTGGAGATTTAGACGCCGTAGTTACCTCTTCCTAAGTCTTTGTGAATAAATGTCTGATAATGTATACTTTTACGCAGATGCAGTCTTTGCCCCCCAATGTGGCAGGAGGGGTTGTGTACCAGCCTGGTGCTCCACCCAGCTACCCGGGCACCTTCAGCCCTGCTGGTTCTGTAGAGGGTTCACCTATGCACAACATCTATATGAACCAGCCTGGGCAGACCGCACCACCACAGTACCAGGCCATGCCTGGTGGTGCCACAGGTGAGGAGGTCAACAGGAAACAAGAAGAAACTTTTAAAATATGCCATGTTTAAGTTTCCTACAGCTTCACATTCAGGAAACATTGGACATGATACTTTAATTTTTTGTGTTCTCCCATGTGTGTGACCAACTGTCTTTTTTTTCTCCAGATCCTAATATGGTCAATGCGTACATGTACCAGGCTGCAGGCACCAATGGGCAGCCTGCTCCTCCTGGTCAAGCTCCGCCCAATACAAGTCCACCCTACTCCAACTATCAGCCCACGCCCACACAGGGTTACCAGGTCTGATTGACTCTCACTCTTCATTATCACTACATAAACTACCACCAAAATATTTGAATACACATAATCATCCTTCTAACTGTTATCCCTGTTTTGTGCAGAATGTGGCCTCTCAGGCCCAGAGTATGCCCCCCATGTCCCAGGCGGCCCCAACTAACGGTATGGGTTACATAGGCTACCAGCCATACAACATGCAGAACATGATTTCAGCACTGCCAGGACAGGACCCCAATATGCCCCCCCAACAGCAGTACATGCCAGGCCAACAGCCCATGTACCAACAGGTCAGCCACTTACTATGTCTTCCTTTGCTACCAGGTGTTAGCAATAGGAAACATTGTAAAGACCATATTGTGATAAATTAGCTAGCTATGTTAAACACTAATTGGTATCTTTATTTTTTACTTGTCACCGCATCCAGATTATTTCCATCCTCACTTCCTATTTTTACTCCTTCCTTATTGCCAGGTGGCTCCCCCTGGTGGCCCACAGCAGCAGCAGCCACAGCAGCAGCAGGCCCCTCAGGCTGTGCCCGGCAGCGCAGAGGCACAGCTGATCTCTTTCGACTAAAAGCCCACACGCTGCAGGCTCTGACACACTACACACTCTCTCCTCCTTTTGGTCTTTCCCCTCACTCTTTGGACTCTGAGGATGCCCTCTGGAAACGCACACCTCCCACCTTGCTGTGATGTTGTGGCAATGTAAAATATTGTGATGATGTTGCAGAACTGTTGGTCTCCTTGCCTCTCCCCACAGTGCAGTATGGGAATGTGGGGTGAAGCTGAAAGAGACGGCACCATAACCCAGATCCTTTCACCCTCTTCCTCCCTCTTTCCAGCTGATAATATGTATGTAGAATTTCCTTCTTAACGAATAACTGAAGCTCAGAAATAGTCAGTGGTATTAAAGTTAAAAATGAAAAAGAAAAGAAAATAATTGAGGAGAAAAAAAGACAAGACATAACCATCCTTTGTCTCCATATTTTTCTAAAGCAAAATAATTTGCATGTTAAATTTTAATTATTTTCTGGAATGGAAATTTAATGATTGCAGCTTATCATCTGTATGTGCTGTTAAAGAGATTGTGGTTGTGGGGATAAAGAGTGATGTCTAGGGAGAGAAAGCACGGTCAAAGGCCTGATATAAACGGCTACTAGCTCACATCTCTGTCAGGTTCACAGCTTTCCATTCCAGTTGTAGTTTTCAGGTCCATCCCCTCTCATGCACACACAAACTAGGGACATCCTATCTTATTTTGGCATTTATTTGTTGTGCACTGCTTGGAATATTGTGTGTCTTTAATGTAGTTTCTTAAATGAAAACAAGACTGACAGAAGCATAGGACCACAATAACCTTTAATTAACTGCAAATAACCTATGAGCACCCCTGTGTGCTTTTGGTTATGACTGTCAAAGATAAAGATAGTACAGGTGGGCAGTCTTTTCTAAAGTATACTTGACTCTCAATAATTGTGCAAATGCTTGCTTGCAGAGCAAACATGACGTACCGCATGTATGTATCACATACCCAATCAGTGATCTCTGTAACCCTTCATTTGCTATCTGTGAACTTCTTTATTCCATCATACTGATCTGTCTGACTTTAAAGTAATTTTAAAATTATATTTAATAAATATCTGGTTCCTATTGTCCACTTGCTTCCTCTTGTTTTTGTGTTGTAACCTTCCAGAGGATTTGAAAAGAAAGAGACTCATGGTCATATGATGACTTTTATTCACGTAAACAGTGTTTCATGTCACATTCATACATCAGTAATTGGGGTTTTCAGTTTTCCTTTCCATAACACTACAATGATAAGTGATACGATCAAAATAAATGTGCTTTAACATATTCCTTATTGTATGTGCGTAAAGGTCCGGTGTGTGACATTTAGTGGCATCTTGCGGTATTGTTGCAGATTACAACTCCCTCGCTTCACCCTCCCATTTCAAGCCGGGAGAAACTACAGGTGGGGCCAGAAACGTGCAAAAAAAAAACCTGTGAACAGCCCTATCTTGAGCCAGTGTTTGGTTTGTCCTCCTGGGCTACTGTAGAAATATAGTGGCCTCCATGGAAGGTGGACCGCAGCGTTTGTAGATATAAAAGGCTCATTCTAAGGTAACAAAACATACTGTTTCCTATATTCAGGTGGTTACACTAATGAAAACATACTTATAAATATTACATTCCATTTCTGCAAATAGACCTTAATAAATGTTATACACTGGGAATTTAAGTAAATTAAATAAAATAATTCTTCTTTTGCCTTCTTTAAAGTTTTCTGAAGACAATGCATTTGTAATATTCTTCCATCTCAATCTGGAAATGAAAAAATACAGGTATAATAGCCATATTTTATTTATTACCAAGTAGTTACCCCAACCTACAGTATGTGACTCACCATCCTCTCCATACGCATCCCGTTCCCATAGGCCAACTGTCTCAACACGTCGATGTCTGGAAGACCCCACTCTGGATTCCTGTGTAAAAGCATTAAACAAATCTATTTATACTCTACCGGAAAAGCTACACCAGACTGTTGTAGTATATTATGTGTTAAAGGAAAATAAACGCCCACTGTTTACGAAGCTCTGCATCCAGGTCTTCATTACAACTTGGTGTAATAGTTCCATTAATAGCATACACCTGGAACATGTTTAAGATTTGGAAAGGTGGCAGTTATTAAAGCCCGTTGCCATTATTTTACACTTCACACTCACATGATGAGTGGATAATAAACTTAATGACTGTTGGTACATACCCCATACGTTATCAGAAGGCCATTTTGCCTGAGGATCTGACCTGCTCCATTAAAAATACCCTTGGAAAATTATGTTTTAAAAAAGAGCATAAAACAGGTTCTGGCACATTTGAATCATTTAGAAATTGCTGTGTGTTATGGGCCTAAAACAAATGAACAATCACTTTTAGATAAGCAGGCCTACCTGTGCTGTTTTGAAGGTGCTGTATTGCATTAAGTTAATGGCAAGAATCAGATCACAGGAGTTGCGAGGAAGGCCTGCCCATTGCTCCCACGGTTCGCTGGCATCCAGGTGGACAGGCTGCAGCACATTCTTTGCATGGGTTGCAGCAATATATGCCTTAATACTGGAAGTAAGTATGCAGACTTAATCCTACATTTTTATTTCAAACTCTTATAACTGAAATTAGTTCTATTTAATATCCTGTTTCTCATGATGCTTGCTGTAAAACACTTCACTGTATGACTACTGTACAGGCATTCATTTCGATCATTAATAGTTGACAATAATTATTGGAAGCCTTTTTCTATACGACACAAACCTGTCCCGGTAATCTTCTTTGATGTCTGATGGCTGCCAGGTGACAAATGCCAGTTTCTGGGCAAAGCGTATGACATGCTGCCCGGTTCCAGAGCCCAGCTCTAAGGCGAACAGCTGCCTGTGGGACTGGTCCTCCAGCACATCTTCGAGCACTAAACATATATCCTCCCAGTTCCTCTCTGCCTGAGGAGACACCAGCATGGTCTGCAGGAGATAAGCAGTAAGACATGTTACACTATCACCATGAATAAATGTTCTCTGTCAGAGATTCCCTCTTACCTCCACTTGTGCTGGCTGACCGAGACTAGCTGGGTGGATGACTGTGACAGCAGATGGGTGCAGAGATTACCTGGTTAAGAGGATTCCCTCTGTGCTCCTCCTTAAGTGTTCAGCACTGGTATAGTACAGGTAGGACACACACAGGAAACAGATCAATTCATACAATACATCTGAATATTTGGTTGCAGATATTGTCATAAAAAGGTAACAATACAGTCCAAAGCATCATCATAATGCATGGATTGTGAAATAATGTGTTTACTACCCTCTTGTGCTCGTAGTGAGGAACTGTAACAAAACGTTAAACTGTGGCTAACACTGTCACTCAGTATGTTTTTTAATGTTCTGTGTACTCTCAGACGTGTAAACTGAGGTGGGAAAGGTTTTTTTTCTTACTGCAGGATTGTTTATTAGAATAAATCACACGGTAAGTGCTCCATAATGTGTGTTACTAATGCATGCAATATTCACATTCATTTGAACTAATATCCACCCAAAAAATATAACAATATAATCTGTGCAACTTTTAGTATCTCCTCCATTGATTTATTTGATTTGATTTTTTTTCCCCCGCCATGTCCCTTATGCGCTCCCGTAGATTTTCTAACAGTTCACGTAATGCATTGTGGGTAGGTCAGAAGCCGAGAGGACGCCATGTGCTTTTGAGGCGGAGGGGATCTGCGGGGGGAAAAGGAGAGCTACCTGCACCAGACTTGTGTTTTATTTGAGAAGGACCCCGGGATAAACGGCTCCAGAGTACGTTACCATGTACTGCACCAGACACTGCCTCCGGACCGCGCTGCGGGCTGCAGCGGGCACACACCGGTACGTAACGTCAACCGAGCGGCACCGGGCTGTCACGTAACACCGGAGCCGTCACGTAACACCGGAGCCAGCGGTAACGGCACAGCAGAGTGTCGACTCTCTGGCGTCTTCAAGGGCAGACAGCCGGGGACTGCTGCCGGTTATCCTGGTTGTGAGACACGCTGCGGCTCCCGTAGTTCGTGTCAATAGGGAGAGAAGTGTTTTAGATAGAAAAGGAGTTTAATGTGCGAGCGGCTGCGTGTGGTAGCTAACGTTAGCTCAGTAACTTTAGCTTGTACTCACTGTGCACCTTTTTTACATTTTATTACAGGCTTTAACTTTACCGTAATCCTATATTTTATGAAACACTTTGCCCTCATCTTATATTAAGTTGTTAAAAAAAAACAACAACCCACAAATGTAGCAGTAGTTTTCCTTTTATAGTTTCCTCCATTCAGCAGCTTTGTTCCTGACAGCCAAGGTCACACTCGTGTAATTCAAAATTCCGGGTTTTTCCTGCTCAAGCTGCAGCTCCTGAGTTTGTTCGTGTACTGTACTATGTACTATGAACGTGTGTGTGTATATAAATGTATATATTATATATTAAGGAACCACCAGAGCTGACAGTAATAGCTGCACTCATCCGAGAGCAGTGGGTCCCATCCTGGTGTAACCCCCCCCTCACAAACAGCGTTATATATCTGAGGGGTCACAAGGTTAGGAGAACTTAAACCGCATAATGAATCTTTTTTTTTAAGGACTTTAACGATAAATGTATTCCTTCCTTCATAAACATGTAATGTGCTGCTTATTTTCTGGATTTCCTTAACCAGAGAGTCATATCTTTAAACTGCTTGTTCTGACAGACCACAACACAAGTACAAACCTTAAACATTGCCTCCAGACACGTATTAAGATGTGTATAAGTAGTCTGCTTGGAATAATGGTTTAAAAAAAGCATTAATTTCCTAATTAAAATCCTTAAAATGACAAGTACTCTTTTCAAAAAAGTCCAGAATCTATGAATATGTTAAAGTTGTTGATAAAGTTTTTCTGCCAGACACAAGATGTTTCCTCCTCCTCCATCAAACTTGTATTTAGTACACTGGACCAAGAGTTGGCCCAACAATTATTTGAGGTCACAAATCATGCTCGTACACCGTCCTCTTAACATCAGATTTTCAGAGAAACCTTCAGGAGATGACTGTGAAAACATCCTTCTAGTGTCAACCCTGCACAGACATTATTCTGCACTGTGAAGCTCAAACATACCAACTGTAGGAACATGGAGAAACACACTTTTGAGTGAAAGAGGACTTTAAGGTATCAAGTGTACGTAAGACACATAAATGCAACAAATCCTCAGAATTGAGAAGCTAGGGAAGTAGGGAATGAGAAGAGTGAAATGATTTATTAGTTATCTGAATAGTTGCTCATTAATTCTCCTTCAGTCTTGATCAGTAAAGATACTTTTTGATGCCAGATGTTCTCACCTGGGTCTTTTCTATATCTGGATACACAGTCCGCCTTAAGCTCTTAAGGAACCAGACACAGCTGTTGAGATAATCCATTTTCATTTTCCAGGCAACAGCTTCAGAGGCAAGCACCGGCCCTGTGTGCTCTCAGACTTCTGAAGACCAGTCCGATCACCCACTCAGATGCCATCGCCGCCCCTCCACTAGACGGATCACCCAAACAGTATTCGCCGAAAATCCAACAGCTCGTCAATGACATAGCCAACCTCACTTTATTAGAGGTCTCAGAGCTCAACGAGCTCCTCAAGGTGTGTGGGGAAAAGTCCTGAAATATTTAATCGAAACCATGCAATGCCTTGTCGGATAGAGATTGTTGTGATCCATCTGTGGTGTTTTTGTTTATGTTTTTGCAGAAAACTCTGAACATTCAGGATGTTGGAATGATGCCAATGGCTGCATCAGCTGTTCCTGTGGCTCAGGTGACTGATTTTTAAATGAAGTACAGAGTAGACAATTCACATTTCAATAAAACCCCATCTACTACAACACCCATCATAAACTACTTCTCTGACACAGGATCTCCATATTTTATCACTGAGTTTACTGATGTCTTCTTATTTAATCAACAATTATTGCCCACTACTTATTGAGTAGCAGCTAATAGTTGCTGTACAGGTGCATGAATAAATTTGCAAATTGTTCCCTTGTTGAAACTAGGCCACAGAAGAGGATATGGAACCGGCCAAGAAAGAGCAGACTCACTTCACAGTAAAATTGACAGAATTTAAGGCAGCTGAAAAAGTGAAGCTTATAAAGGAAGTGAAGAATTGCATCCAAGGCTTGAATCTGGTTCAGGTAAGTCTCATCATTATTGTTAAGTCCCCAGTACTGAGCCGAATTATTTAAAGTTAGTAACACTGAGGCGCAGTGACTGCTGGTATACACTCGGTGGCGGTAACGTGCGAAGAAATGAAACAAGGCACCAACACAGGCGAGGGAGAGGAGCTCGCAAACGCCATATGAACGTCAAATATTTGACAAAATTGGCTTTGCAAGTCTGTTAGACGCCTAGTGTTTTGGACACAGTATTAAATGCTGAATGTAAACAGAAACTTTGCTCACAAGAACACTCCACAGGACACCTTAATACTTAGTACTCTCTGCTACTACAGACTCTTGATCCAATATGTTTTTTTAATATTCCTACAAAGTACAGCTGCATAGTGCCTAAAGCAAACATATAATAACATGACTGGTGTTAAGCTCTGCCTGAATAATATAGTCTTTGTAACAGCTTTCCTTTAGAGTTCTCCTATGGAGTATGTGCTACAGTGTCCTATGGTGTTTGGTGTAATATCTGGATCACTGAAACATGCTTCTGTTGTATTTTTTTGTGCTGCTTCATAGGTAAGCCACATGCAACAGATTTGGAACAACCACTGTTTACTTATAAGTCTAATATGGTCTTAATGACAACTTACTTGTATCTGGAGCACTGTTTATAATAAATAAAGATTCGCGTTTGAGTGGACTTACTCAAAATACAATAATGTAGATGTTGGGATTCACTACCAATGGTGCGTTTTGGCTCAGGACAGTGTCTAACTTCCCGTTTTTCACAGGTTTGGTAACGTCACTAAAATCTTGTTTGTCCTCCCTCCTTCCTTCACCAGGCTAAGAAACTAGTGGAGTCTCTTCCCCAGGAAATTCGAGCCAATGTATCCAAAGAAGACGCAGAGAAACTTAAAGCAGCGCTGGAGGCAGCAGGCGGCACTGTGGCATTGGAGTAGATCTTCTCGTTCAACACTTTGCTGCTCATGCACTTCGTCGTTCACCCTATTATTGATTTTTCTTTTTTACATGACAAAGAGGAGGATCCCGGGAGAAAAAGGAAACAAATGCCTTCTGACATCGATACTGTGTTAACAGCGTCAGGCGGGGCGGCACAACTCCAGCTGAACTTTCCAGGCACACAGCCTTCACAAATGGCCGCCTCGCTGTTTCCTTGTCCATTTGTCTGCCTGATACTTGTGTAGCAAATAAGCTACAGAAACACTGGCCTGGGTGCCAAGTAGGTCAGTTGGTCGTTCTGTGTGTTGTGTATGTTAAACTTTTCACAGAAGGAAGGATTATGCTGAGACATGGTTACCATTCCCTTTGTTGAGCAACACCAGATACTGTATCTAGTTCAGGGGATGGCAGGGCCTCATTGCTTATAGAATTGTTGATAATGTGATTAAAGTTGAAATACTCATATTTCTCCTGCTGTTATGTGTTCTTGTAGTGAATGATGAGAATGAAATCTATGTAATGTCTGTGGTGCTTTCTTTAACATATCTGGCGTTACTGAAACTGTAAATATGTGTAATGTATTCAATTGAAGAAGTGAACATGTTATCCTAGTTGATTGCATCCTGCTGTACTGCTGCTGACCACTAGAGGTCCTAAGATCTCTTTTCAGTCAACTCAGACAGGGTGAGAGTGGTTGTTTGAATGTTCATTATTATGCTTATTTTTGACATGAACAGAAACCACTTACTGTCCTGGAAGAGAGGAATGCAGTTTAAAGACTTGTGGTAATTTAGTGATGTAGTTGGAATTGCATGTAAAACCAGCTGATTTAAAAATACACAGTAAATTAGCACCGAACCCTGTTTATCTTAAACATTAATCTCCAATCATTTTGATTTTTACATCAAGTGTCTGGTATTGCCTGATGTACACCACCTGGTTGAAATCTAAAATCAGCAGGTTAAAGGTACACCTGAGTTTATCTCAAACAATGATCATAGTTAGAAAAGCACTGGTTTTACTAACGGATGTTCTCTTCTTTGAAAGTGCTCCAGTAAGCTTTGCAATAAACCAGCACACACAATACCGCAATCCTTTAACTGAAGCAACTAAATGGAATTCAGCCTGTGATGTCAGACATGCCCCCTACGTAGGTACCATTTTCCGACATACTCTTTAAGAGTCATTGTTTTTATTATGTTAAAACTTACATGAATATGGTGGAGGTATTTTCTGATGAACTCGGGATACCTTTAGTAGTAGATAGCCAGCAGATGGCGTACGTAGTCCATATTTTAAGCTGCATGACAAAACCTAGGTTGAAATGCTAATAAAATCTTAGTGTGAGGTCATCCTCTCTTAATAATATGTCACAGTCCAAAAGTTATTTCAAGCATCTGTTCGAGAACTTAAGTTATCGCAGTTAATCTATTAATATGTTGTGAATGCTGTTTCAGAGAGTTCAGGAGATCTGGAATCTGTGGTCTGTGTGTGTTTATTGGGATATAAATACACTTGCATGGTTTCTCTACTTCATCAGTACGGGGTTGCATTACCTATTTTTGTAGGGTAATAGGACTAAATCCTGATTAGGTCCACATAGACACCATGTGGGTTACATTTGGATTTCATTGATAGCCCACATAAAAATGTATAGGAATAAGCCCAGGGCTCATTTTACATGGGTTTAAAATACAAATCACTTCTTCCACTCAACTAAATTACACTTACATTCATTAAAACTGACCGGACCAGCTTATGTTTAGTACTCTTTGGAAGATCAACATTTAATGAGATCAGTGAGATTCCTATTGGTGCCTATTGTAACTATATGTGTTTATTGTGCTTTGATTCATTTTTAATTTCAAATGTCAGTAAATATAAACCTCAACCAGTTCTTGCATATTGTATCAAAGCAACAAAGGGTTCTGTGTCTGGAAGAAAATGTTAGATGTTTGAGGCTACATTGAGGCAGGTTTTGCTGAATTGCAAGGCAGCAGAGAAAAAGAACAATCAATGGATAGGAATGAGGAGGAGATGACATGCAGTAAAACTCTCAGGCTGAATAGGAAACAATATGTGGTGTGCACGTCAGTCAACAACCTTAATAGATTGTGAGAGCTGAAACCAGAGAAATGTAAGCCTGATGCTGAGATATTTTCCTTTTTCAAATGCACTGGAAAACATACTGGAGAGTCTTTTGAAGTGCGCCTTCCAAAAAAAGGTACCCCACAAGGAGAATAATTTGCCAAGGAAAAACATGGAGAAAATTGAAGAGAGCATACATTCATTCTACCGTCAGGGACAATAAACAACATGAATATTACATAGGAAAGAAATAATACAATATATTTTCATATTGTAATGATACCATTTGACTACCCAAACATGGAAAGAGAAAATAAAAAATACACAAATAGAAATGCTCAAATTCAAAGGTTGAATGCAAAATCTGAATCACCAAACATGGAAAAATTGATTATTATAAAATTATAAATTATAAAAAAAGAAAAAAGAAAACGTCTTAATAAAATTATTTTCTGCCATTGATTTCTAATTGTATGTAAATGAGGAGGTTTGTCCTAAAGTGGTGAGGGGACCATAAACATCATGAACACCAGGGGGAGTGTAGAGCTCACTCATCAGAGGAGTAAAACCAAGGAGGTTTACGCCTCAGCATGAGGTGGAAAAAGGTGAATCTGCATATGTTTTTGTTTCCCAACCTTATCTCAGTCCAATATGATGTAATTTGAACCTGTATAGGCCTTTTTCACAGCAGCCATAGTAAGAAAAGCACAGGTGTTACTAATAACAGTAACAATGGCTCCCTTCTATTTAATAGTCCCTGTAAGCCATGACAGTGTCCAGGACCTGCAAACTGAAGCAGCTAAATGGAATTCAGCCAGTCATTTTATTATTTACACCAGCGCCTTTCCTACTGTGACATGTCAAAATGTCTTCTGTGAGAAAAAAGCCCCGTTGTTAAAAGGCAGCGGTGTAGGAGAGGAGAGGAAGAACAGAGTGTTGTAGACGATGTGTAGGGATGTAACACGAGGAGAAAGCCTGGCACACAACTGACTGCAAAACTGCGTGAAGGGCGTGTATTATAAACGGCTTATACAATCTCCCCTGAGTGAGCAAACTGTAAGTTCAGCCCTGGCCAAGATTCAAGATTAACTTTATTGTCATTCAGACAGGACAAGTGCACAGTAGAACGAAATTACGTTGCATCTGGCTCACAAGTGAAAAGTGAAAGTGAAAAATACCATAAAAACAGACAAAATGTGACGATTAATAAAATAATTATATAAATATACTTTGAAGAAACATGAGTACATTGTACACACTGAATAAAATTGGTGAAAATTGTCCTGATGTGCTGAGAAGAAACCCTGCTCTGTTAGTGATAATGGGTTCAGGCTGCTTTGTAGTACTGAGACAGTAACTTGGATTGCTGCAGGAAGGCAGCACATGAAATCAAATCCAATTACAAGTTTAACTGACTATAGAAATAACAGCCAAAGATCAAACTGCATGTAAAAGATTCAATCTGTGCAGGTAATTTAGAGGAACATTCAAGCGGGCTTTTGGGCATTTCACTCCAACCAAAATCCAAATCTAAACATGCAGAATATCAAATTATGAAACCTTGTTTACTTCAAACTTAAACGTGAACTCAGGCCATTCATCAGAATGTAACTTATATCTTATCTGGATATAACAGCTTGTATACATTTAAAGACATAGACGGCTATGCAGTGGGAATACTGTAGATAAATGAAACTGTAGATAAAACTGATTGGACTACTGACAGCTGGCACAGGACAGAAACCGTATTTAGAATACTATCATTGGCTGTCATTACACGTGTCTGCATGTGTTAGATCCTTCAGCAGCGAGATCTCATGTCTTGCCTTTTGCTCTCACTTGGAATGAGTGTCCGGTTACTGTTTCTGTCATCTGTCATGGCTCCCCACCTCCCTCTGAGTCAGCACGCACAGAGCAGTGCCAGGCTACCCATTCATACCACTGCTGCAACACTCATTTATAATCATGTCATGCTTAAGAACCACACAGACACTTGCGCTTTAGAGGCTTTGTTAAAGCATAGAAATGACTTACTAACAGTATTACAAACTGTTGTTGAACGTGAATGTGAAATAAGAGTGGAGGCATGCAGTATGGTTTTGACCTCATGACCCTTTGTGACCCTGAGACTGAATGGTGTAATGGGAAGGCAGCGTCTATTCTTAACAAATATTAGTTTGAACTTTGTGACCTTTGATCCGTGTTAGTCGAAATCCTTGGCTGATGCCATACCACATTCACAAAACTACAGCAGCAAGTCAAGCTGACTTACTATTTTTATATTAGTCACGTACACTTCCTCCCACAAACCAGCTGCACCCCTTTTCTTGGCACAGAAAGATGGAGTAAGTTCGAAGGCTCTGTGCTTACTCCTCTGGACAAGTTTAGCCATGTGTTAATCCACAATGCCCAGCTCTTTCTGAGAAACAAAAATGCAGGTTTACATAATGGACATTGAGTTTGTCTATTGTGCATTTAACATGAACGGCGTCCAGCCATCACCGGCAGTGTTGAGGGAAAAGGATAAGGAGAGCACCCTTGGACGAAGTTGTCCCAGCAACCTTTGAGAAGCCGACACTTAGCCGCCTTCCTTTTGGACTTTGTTTCACTGACAACATGCAGGAGAATCGTATTTCTCGTTGGTATTTTGGTGGAGTCTCCTCCAGCGCAGCCGCCTGTTTAACGCACCCACTGGATTTAATTAAGGTAAAATATGGAGTTAATTGATTTTTTAATTTAATTACCACTGTAGCGCAATTTGTTTCCCTTTAAGAAAGTAAGAAAATGATCCAATTAGGCCTCATTCATCTGTCTGGGGTGTTTTTCACATGTGCCTCTGGATTGCATTGTGGAAAATGTTAATAAAATTATATTCTTTGAAGGTCTATTATCTGCTGTTTTTCTGTTGACACCAACTTTGGGAATAGCTTGCTGTTATATGGTGATGATTCAGTTCACCTAATTACCTAAATTACCTTTATTATGACCATCAATTGGCTTGTTTGGTTGTTTTAAGTACATGAAATGATGAAAGACACAGGTCTACTTCTTCAATTTTGTATTTCCCACTCCTATTATCCTGCTATTGAATTGATTTTCTTTCATTCAGCGTGCTGACTGAATGTTTGTGGTCGTTGTTTAGAATAGGCTGCTGACATTACCCATGAATATCATCTTGAGTTAAGAACCAATTCTGTTTGCTTGTTGTCACAGCTTAAGACAGGAAGAGACTTTGTTGACTTACTACTGTCACTTTGCACATGTGCAGGTAGTTGTTGCTCTTACTAAAGGTGTGACTGACCCTCATCGCTGCTTCCATGTGGTCATTTCCAGGTGCACTTACAGACGCAGCAGGAGGTGAGGGTGAGGATGATCGG